CGATTGTAGTTATATATTTTTTTTCTATACGAGCTTATGAAATATTAATTGTTCTATATAACCCTAAAGAGATCATTAATAATTATATACGCAAAATATTCACCATGTATTAGTTTCCTGTTGTTACCCGAGCGTTGTTATTCCTGGCCAAATCCATAATTCTGACTGTTAGCCAGAGACTGAGAAGGAGACACCTTCCTTCGTTACCGATTTATTAACAATATCGGCAGATGTTTGTAATATCACGATCGATTACGAAACATTACAATCTGTTAACAAGAGCATATTAATAATATCAGAAAAAGATAAACGATTACATTTCTTAATAGAACAAATTAAATTAAATTAAATTTTATTTTAATTTAATTTCTCAAAGATACGCATGTCATCTTTTTAATCTTCGACCAAGATCACGACCAAGATCAAGAATAAATGTCAAGGCGATAGACAGGAAAAAAAATTATGTCATTAAAGGTATTATATCATTAAAAGATAAAAAAATCTTACATTAATCGCGTTCTAATCAAAATTGTCGCGATTATATATCTCAATCACGAATACTTGAATAGGATAATGCAGAAATATTAAACAACAAAAACTTTAAAATCAATTAGTGTAAATTACGAACCGAATCGCGAAACCGTTATTTGACTCTCATCTCAGATATTGTAAGATATTCAGATTTTATTATATTGCGTTAGACAAATGCAAATACAAGTGCCACTTACCAAATATATCAGCCGCGACACTCCTCGTTCCGCAGACGATCTATTTTATGTTCGTGGCTTTCTGAAAATACAAAAAAATGCTATAAAGGCAACACTATAAAGGCAAAGCGGTTTTGTCCATCCGCGCGGTCAACTACGCGGCTCGCGCGTCACTAACGCCACGGTACGCGCTGCGGCGGCGTCGGTGCAACAACGCTTTGCGACTTAATTTTCGGTCAAATGAATGTCGCGAAATACATTTAAACGATAAATGTAAAACTAATACATTCGCCTTTTATGACAATTATTGCACATAATACTAATCATCAAGAGGCGCGTGTAGTTATTTAAAACGTGGAAAATGTATAAACGCAAAAATAAGAGTAAGACGCGTAGCGACGCCGATCGGTCGTGACGCCGTGCCTTTGGCGTCACTACGTGTCCTAATCGATCTTCGCGTTTATGCATTTTCCACAGTTTAAATATGTAACTAATAAACGCGCCTTTTATGACGATTATTATTTCGCATCTTAATAAAATAGGCGTATTATAAGTTAAAGATATCTGTGATATTTATAATTCATAAAATATAATTGTTTCTTTGCTGATTATTCGCGCGATACATCTTCGGCTGAACAAGTATTACGTATTTTAATATTTAAGTATCAAATCTATATTTTGCAATAGTCTTATAGCCGTAAATTGAAAATGCGAAATTAATATGGATTTCTTTACCAATTAAATGAATTGCGACTACATTCGTTCCGGAGGCGATCTTTCTCGTGCCGGTGGCGCACCAAAAGTGACGCGCAAAGTGTCGCGGCGCGCGGCGACGCCAACGCATCGGCGACAGTGGCGGCAACAGTGGCGCGCGGCGACGCCGACGCTATACACTACGATTTTCGGTCGAACGAGTATTGCGAAATACGCATCCGATCAATCTTGCATCTAACTTTGATGCAAGATTGATCGGATGCGTATTTCGCAATACTCGTTCGACCGAAAATCGTAATGTATAGCGTCGGCGTCGCCGCGCGCCACTGTCGCCGAAGCGTCGCCTGCACCGCGACGCTTATTTCGCGTAAGCTGACGGCACGCGGGACGAATTACGCCGCTTCACCTCCTTAGTTATGCGTTTATCCATATGTACGCTGTATATTAACGTACGCTATATGTATGGATAAATGCGTAATTAAGATAGTGATTAGTGAAGCCGAGCAATTTGTCCCGTACGCGGCCAGCTTTATACGCGAAACATGCGCTGCGCCGACGCGCCCCGATTAATTTATATATTTCGAGATTGTAATTTAGACAAGACAAAGCATTAATGATTAAGCATATAAAATGATAGAAAAAACAAATTTTATATAGATTATATGTACCCGCATATGAATTTCCTGTCCAATACATTCATTCTCATTCATTTTGTGCAGCGCATGAGCTGTCCGAGCTGTACATCGTTGGATCGTGCCTGTGTGCGCGACGCGACGTGACGCTCCCCCTACTCGATGTAAAATGTCGCGCGCGACCGATTTACGTGCGTTTATATAGTACCTCACTTTGCGCGTACCCCTCCACTCACGCGCTAGCCAATGAGCGCAATGCAGTGCCGCGCCGCGGCTCCAAGCCCTCTGATTGGATCGGCGCTGGCTTACGAGTTGGGTATATAAAGCAACGCTTACGCATTGAGACATGTTATTTGCTTTCGGAGTTCGGACTTCGTCACGTCGGAGCGCGGCGCGTTCGACGACTCCGAGTACTCCGACGTCCGTTTTCCTGCTTCTACGGTTTTCCAGAGGCAGGATGACGGATAATGCACACTTCGTTGACAATAAATTCATATATACTGATGTTCATTTCTATTAGTATAGATTAATCTCGATTTAATTTACCCTTTGTTTCTTTTTAATTCTTTTAGTTAGAAAAAGATAAAAGTTAAATCAATGTTAAAATTAATCTACATTGATAGAAACGGACATAAATATTGTAAAAATAATCAGACTCAATTGCGGATCTTCTTCTAAAGCACTTGCCTCTTATTCTTATCAAAGTCAATTATATAGCGATTAATGTCTAATTGTCCTATCGAATATATGTGTTCTCATATGAAAAATTTTTTCCGGGTTTGATCAAAATAGAATTGCTTGTACATCTTTTGATCTTTCTATAATAATAAATGTATGTACTATGTAAGCAATAACATTATATACATAATTTCCTCGTATTCAGAACGCGCTTATAGTATTTACCGTTTAATTTACGTTACATATATAGTATACAATTTTTTACATATATACTACAGAATCTCAGAAATAAAAATGATCGAGCGCATTTATTGATAAAAGTGAGGAAAAAATACGAATTATATAGAATTTTAGACTTGTTAGCACGCTAACATACAGCTTATAAGCATGTTCTGAATACGGAATTGATTCCTTCCATTGCATCTCATGCAATTAAATATGTATTCTACTGTAAATTTGTATAAATGTATAACAATATACACATCAGTATAATATACACATCAGTATAATATAATATTCACGAAGATCGTAGATATATTACCGGCAGTAAATATTCGTGACTACATAATTCAACGCGTACGTCTTGTGCACATAGGGGCGCTAGTAAACGGGTTCCATATTTCTATTGATCGTCCCCCTCCTTCCCACTCTTCTCGAGAGAGCCTAGTCAGAGAGGATCTCTGGCCTAGTGAACCGTCTGCAACATAACCTATACTTATCTGCGGACTGCGAAACGCACATAACCTAACCGAACGCCCTTACACGTGTGTAAATGTAATGTGTTGAACACTCGATATTCCTGGATCGCATGAGAATGGGTGGCTCGAAGAAAAGTGCGAAAACACAAAAGACCGGTCCGATCGATAATGCGTGGTCGTTAAAGATACCAGAATTTAAAGAAGAGGATAATCCACATCGTCTTCTGGAGGAAAGCTCATTTGCGACTATGTTTCCAAAGTACCGCGAGCAATATTTGAAGGAACATTGGCCCTTGGTCCAAAAAGCTCTGGCCGAGCATCACATCAAGGCTGAGATGGATCTCATCGAAGGTAGCATGACGGTGAGAACTACCAGGAAGACTTGGGATCCGTACGTCATCATTAAAGCACGTGACATGATGAAACTTATGGCTCGTTCAGTTCCCTTTGAGCAGGCGGTGAGAGTTCTCCAGGATGACATGGCTGCGGATATCATAAAGATATCTTCTTTTGTCCGTAACAAGGATAAGTTCGTCAAGAGGAGGCAAAGGCTCATCGGACCAAATGGATGTAATTTGAAATCCATTGAGCTGCTAACGAATTGTTACGTCGTAGTTCAGGGTCAAACTGTTTCGGCACTGGGACCTTATAAAGGTGTGCAACAAGTAAGAAAAATCATACAGGATACCATGAAGAATATTCATCCAGTTTATAGCCTCAAGACATTGATGCTTAAACGGGAGCTCGCCAAAAATCCAAAATTAAAAGATGAGAATTGGGAACGATATCTGCCTAAGTACAACAGCAAGAACATAAGTAAGCGCAAAGAACCGAGGAAGAAGAAGGAGAAGAAACCGTACACTCCATTCCCACCACCTCAACAAGAGAGCAAGTTTGATAAGGCAATGGCATCGGGTGAATACTTCCTGAACGAGGAGCAGAAGAGAGCAAAGAGAAAGAAGGAACAGGAGGCTAAGCATGAAGAGGCGACCAAGAAGAGGCAGGAGCGTAGAGCACAGGCGTTTGTACCGCCTGAAGAAAAATCTGTTGAAAGTGAAACTACAAAGACTGATATAGACGTTGCTGAGATAAAAAAGAAAGTTATACAAGGACTGAAAAAGCGTAGAACAGAATAATGCATATAGACATTTTTTAAATATCAATGATATAACAAATGTATGATGTATAAAGGGATGTAAGAAGTAAGTTTTACACAAATATAAATTTACGGAAATACTCCGTTGTTTTATTAGAAAAACTCATTTTATATATAATTACTGTATTATCGCATTCTTAACATATACTATATATATATATATATAATTATTTTACATTTGCAAAATATAGAGCAGAGGAAATTTTATTTTAACATTTTGAAGATAAATATACTTAGAATGCATATTTTTTAAATTTCTTTTTCCTTACTAAATCTCGTTTGCAGAATATTTCGGATATTTTAAAATGTATCAAACAAAATTTTAGAAGAATGTTTCAAAAATTATTTACTGTATTTTTCCATCTCTTTTTAAGTTCTACTTTCAATTCTGCTTAATTTCAATCAGAATTTTTATTCTAAATATATAACATCTTCAATATGCACTTTGATTCGATGCAAACGCCATTTCAAATCCTATCGCAAAATTATTGTAATTTAAAAGTAGCGGATGTCGCACTGACGCTGGGATTGTTTCTTGATATTCAAAAATGCTCTTATCAGACAAAATATCGCACTAATGTACTATCGTATTTATATATGACATGGATGTAAATGCTCGTTCAATGTACAGCGCTCTTATCCTATCGGCACCACAATTTCGCTTCTCGAGTATAAATTTTCATATTACTGGACACACGAATATTAACATTGATTGGTTATCCGCTGTATATTCTTAAAATTAAGATCGAGAGTCGCCTAGTATTTTACAATTTTTTTTACCGATCTTGGAAGTACGCGACATTCGTTAAGTTATGTGTATTTATATATTATAAATATATTGTATAATTTTTTTTATTTACAGATAACATGATGTGTACGATTGTGTGACGATCCCTTTTTTTTACAGGAGATACACGGAAGCAATATATAAGTATTCACGCTGATAGCAAAAAAAGCTATTCGGAATAAGTAGGACGGGAGAGAGATAATCAATGAAGTATATATAATTATTTACAATAATTCTCTGGTCGTATGAAAGTGATAGTTAAGTATTAAGGAATCCTACGTGCCTGCATTTTGTACAGATATGCACGCCAATTCAATTTTCCATTGTTTCCCGTATATTTTTTTATAGTAGTAAATTAAATTTCTTAATAAAAATGATATAATTATGGGTTTTTGAGTGTAATTTTGTTTATCAGTTAATACCGAATGAGCTTTAATCTTTTTTAATCTTCTCTAATTGTCAAATTTATTCACCGAGATATTTGAATTAAAAGTTAAGTATTCCGTTAATTATAAGCTTGAAATTATTTCTCCGCTGCGCGAAGTCTGCCTTAAAATTATCCGGAAACAAAGTTACTACGTACGCTGCTGAAGCTTGGTACGGCAAAATCCTTTAATTCCAATGTTAACTAACTCCGTGATTACACCTTCCTTTTCAATCTCGTGCTAAAGGAAAGTTGACTCAGTCGGAATCCTTCAAAGAATCTGCAGTTGAAAGGAAGCGCGATAATGATACGCGTAGGGATATCCCGTGTACATATTTACTATCTACGTATATATATTCGCTGCGCCAGCCGGTGCTCTGATTAAAGGAAGACGCTTTAAAAACAATGCTTTCTTCTTGTGACGATAATAAAACTCTAAGATTATCTTGACGTTTTGATTTTCAGAAGTGATTCGAGACTATTCATAATATCGCATTCGTTTAATTAGGGCACGGCCGATTTCATCGGTCGCGTGTTATCTACATTAAAATTCTACGCATACAATATCGATATCAAAAGAATTACTTTAACGGATGATTGCTACAGCAGAGTTAGCGTGGATGCCCGTGTGTATCATACAAAAGTTTATACGATATTATTAATCATCTCACTTCGCGGTATTTATATAGTCCCAACGTGAAGAGACGGCAGTAAGACATTATCGTCGGAAAGTATAAGTGTACAAAAGATCGTGTCTGCTAATATGTATTGCTATAATTAGTTGTGTCAGCTTCCATGTTGATTTTCACTTAACACGTTGTAGGCGAGTAATGGAACGGCGCTGCCGTTTTATTTTAGATTCGATTTAATGCTCTTGAGAATTATTATTTTCATCTAATTTAGTTCTTACTGAGAAATCGAACTTCTTGATATTGGCCATTATTAAATTAAGTGTATTCCAACGTGGGAAAGGACAAAAAGAAATTGGAAAACTTGAGAATTAATACTCGCTTTCAAAAAGTAAAAATTAAATATCAGAAATTAGAATGTTATTACTGAGCTACAATATGTTAAGTATGCACATACACCCTGCGCTTTTCATTTACGCACAACCAAGTAAGTATACAATTAGTTACAAAAATAAATCTCTTTTTCTGCGAATCGTAGCGCACGCTTCTGAAGGGAAAGCATCTTGTTCATCGCAATTTGTTGTTTGATTCACAAGGATATTCGCAGATTGGATGCGCCGCGTATGCTAAGATCAGATAAAAAGAATACGTATTGTATGAACCTAGCATGATTTTGGGCCCGGTCAAAATAGCGATTCAGTCGCTGAGAAGCTTCTTACGTCCACATGCTATACAATTGCAAAACGTCAAATTCTTTAAACAGATACAGAAATTATGTATACGTTATTAAAAATTAAATATTTAAACAATGTAATGTACATCGATAACATAATATAATTATATCATATAATATGATTATATTATAATATAATGTAATTATATTATAATTGATTTCGTGTACATTCTCGAATACCGAAAAGCTTCTCCGCGGTTGTCTGCATAAAAGAGTAATATCAAAATGGTATTTGTGATAAAACTATCGATTACTTAAAACAAATTCTGCCAAGTGTAAAAGCTTTGGCTCATTTATTTAAAAAACACGTAAATAAATGTATAAAAAAAGATGAGCTGCTCGATCGGACTTTTAAGAATACGTATCCGTACTAAAAAATGACTGAATGTCGCTTTTATTAAATTTTTTTATGCATTTGAGAAACATAGACAAGAAACATCGTCAGCTTAAGTTGTATTGTAAAATCAATTGACTGCCATAATTGTATTTTAAATTCCCGGATTTCTAATTTAATTCTTCGTCAACTCTTCTATTACTCTTTTGATTACATATAAAAAAAGAATTAATTCGATTTCATATTATCTCGTTATCACTCAGTAATGTTGTGTGATTAAATTTTATTACCTATGTTCCATTAAAAGCATTATTACCATCTCATAGATTGGTTTTCAATCTATCTCTTCAATTTCCAATATCAATTTAAATTTAATAATATAATAATCAAAATATTATATAATTAAAATAAATCTATAAATTTTATTAATGAGAGTTTTAAGAAAACTCTGTATAAATGTTTATATTATATATAAATTTTGAGACATTGTGACATTGAAGAGTTAGTCGTTCACACGCAACATTATAAGTTTCTTTCAATCTTCGTTTAAGTAATAAATTTCTCAAAGAAATAAGTCTGACAATTATAAAGTATAGGTATTTCATTGCATGTGCAACTCCCAATTGTTTTTCAAATATAACTCAATTTTTTATAACACCGTGAACCTCGAAAACTAGAGATTCTTTATGGATTTGTTCAAAGCTAAAATCGTTACGTATGGCTCTTAAGAATTATTTGTTTAAGTCAATCACACTATGCATGAAATATCGCAGTTTGTAAATTCGATATTTGAAACATAACATATGTATAATCGGATTGCACCGAATCTTACACAACGTCCATTTGCACCATTGTTCATACACACGTTTTCATATTTTTTATGTATTATTTTATTATAAATAATTTTCACACTTATCACACATCGATCGCGAGACGTCAACCTATCAGGTTAATCTTTTGTCATTATAAAAGTAGGATGATTTAATGCCTAAGAAAATCGGAAGCAATGGAATTCTCATGGATATAGAAACTAAAGATTGTTGATTAGAATCACCAAGCAGTCTTAAAGTTTTTTTTTTTTTCACTTTCTTTTGCGAAACTATTTCCGTTTTAGTTTGTGAGATGCGTACCACTTTTCGTAACATCATTAGAGAACTCTTTAAATTTCTTCTATCCATACGTACCGCTATCCGAGCCTCATAGGAACAGGCTACATCGTGAACTGGCGAATTTGCAAGTCAGTGTGGTACAAGATGGGGTTCTTCATCGATAAGAAATCGTGAAGAACCATGATTACGGTTACAAAGATACGTCGGTCTGCGATAAGCGCAACCCGGTCGAATCGATCGATCCGTTCGCAGGCAGACAGCCAGTCCCTAATTTAAAAAAAAAAAAAACGCACTTTTGACGCGGTCGGCCTCATTGAACGGTGATCACGTCGTGGCGCGTAGCGTTAAGAGAGAGAGTCCGTGGGTGAATAGCGTGTTCACCGCAACCATATCAGCTAGTGATTGTGGTTGTAGAGATGCCACCTCTGCGTCTCAGCGTTCGAGTCGCACTTCTCCGCCGTGATGCCGCGCTGCGCGTGATACCGCGAGTCCACGCACACGGGGATTCTGGTGTGGCGTATCAGACCGCCCTCCAAGTGTCGCCACTTCTGGTTCTCGTTGCCGTCGCAGATCTGCATCAGCAGCGTCGTGCCCTTGGCGTACACGGGCAGAGTCAGACAGAGATCGTGATGCTTGATCAGGCCGTCCTTCGTGAGGCCCCATTCCTGCACGACGTATCAGTTTTGTAAGATTGTTTTTTTTTGTTGTAAATTTGAAACAATTATGCAATTCCTTATTTAATCTACTTTAAAATGCTCACCTGATTACCACCAGTGTCGTGACAAGGATAAAGACCGACGTTTCCGTCGAGAAGATGGCCCATGCTGTCCAAGCAAGCGGTGCCCTGCTTCAGAGATCCTCCTGGACCACCCTCGCTCGTAGGTATAACTAATTCGGGATATACGTTCTTCAAATACCAACTGAAAGGCTTGCAATGCAGTCTTCGTTTTAGCTCCATTCTATCTTGAATGCTGAAACACGTAATTATTCGCGCTATTAATATAATCGAATCTTATATTCTCCAAATCTCATTAAATGCTCTCTGTTGTCTTATTATATATATATATATGATATATATGATATAAAAATTATATCATATAATTATATAATTATATAAGATATATATGATATAAAATTATATCAAGATATATATGATATAAAAATTATCTTTTATATCAAATTGTAGTCTCGGTATACAATTTGATATAAAAAATAATTTTTATACATATTCATGTATTTGATATATCGCAAACTTTGATGTAATGTTAAATAACACGATAAAAGTAAAATCAGAGTGTTAACTGAAGTTTAATTGAGACGTCGGGACTTACTTTCCATAAGGGATGTTTCGTGCTAACGGTACGGCGTTGTAGTAGAACTGCTTGTAGTCGTCCATCCATACTTCGGCGGCGCGCCTCGTGTTTCGAGCAAACACGTTTCCGCTGCCTCCGGGGAACGAGTAAGGATGACGTTTACGGAATACATGGCCCACACGTGAGCACGGGATAATCTCCAAGCTGCCACCGCATTGCCACACGCGGAACGATATTTCTGAAAGAAAGTTACAAGTGCATGTAGTAAGTGCGAATGTTAAACGTGAGAACGGAGATGCCCAGGGTACATAGAAAGAGAAAATGCATAAACTTCCCTCTCTATCAAACTGCGTGATATTATTCCTTTTTTTTCCTAGGATGTTTTGCATTGCAAATTAAATATTAAAAGGACGTTAAAAAAGTATTTGTTAATTTTTGTATGAAAGAACGGGGTATTTATACATTTGAAAAAAATATATACATATATATGCAAAGTTCCGTCTAGCTATTGGAAAAATACTATTTTAATGTAAATCTTTCATCAAAGTTATGCTAAACTGAAATAGCGTTAGACTTTTCCGCAGAAACTCAACAATTTCTCTTCTGTCCGAAACGGGGTCGCAGTTATTTCTAACTTCACACTTCCGACATATATTGGTTTGCTTGCCGTGTTTTCCACAAAGTTCTTACGAACTGCACACAAGGTGGTAGTTTCCGTCAAAGAGTTCGTTTCCTCCGTATTTGAAAAGTGTAATGACAGATACAGCACTTTTCTGACAACTTTCGACTCAAGAGTTCTGCGACACTAATTTTTGCATTACATTTTTAATTAAACGTATTTGAAAAGTAAATCATATCTAAAATTAAAATTCAATAAATATTAATAAAATCATTTTTAAGTGATTTTTTTTAAATGATAAGCAGAACTAAATAAAACATTTTTATTACGCGCAATGAGAAGAAATTGTAAGAGCAATTCTCTGCGAACTTTCGAACTGAGTTATTTTCAAGCATTTATTTGCGCAGCCGTCGGATATAGTGATGAATGAGCTAATATTTACGCTGGTATGATGCTTTTTAATAAAATTTAATGGGAAGCGCTCATTAAAACTTGTTGAGAAATTATAACTTTCGACTATATTGATCTAATAAAAAGTTTGCTCTGCTGCAAAATACTCATCGTGAGTTACGCATGCCTCGCAACAAAAGTTTTTGTAGCGAAGTACATATCGACCACGTGTAATATTTTTGGTAGCATATTTACAATTTTGTTAAAATAAAATAGCGTTATCTTTAGACAACGGATATGAATATAAATAGTGTTTCTGTACAAAAATATTCCAATAAAATATCTTTGTATATTCTTTAAAGGAACAACACACGGTTGAAAGAATTTAATTATACATAAGAATGTGCGTTTAGCTCTTTGAACTTTCCGAATACTTTGTACTTTGTACATGAAACTATAAATAGTCCTACCGAGATTTTCGCCGCCCCAAACATCCATTTGAGTATCGTATTTGCCGAGTTTCTCGAAGTACGCTTTGTTGATGACAAACAGTCCGCCAGCAATCATAGGGGTCCTAATGGATTGTGTCGGATCCTTTTGTCTCGCCTGTCGTTCCACCTGACTGAGATATTCCCATTTAAAGACCAAACTCCAATCGAAACCACCCCTAAGATCGGCGGAGGCCCCTAGAAACCGAGATAAAATTGTCTTAATTCGTTTAGATTTTTCAAATTATTTTATATAACAAATAGAATACAAATTTTCGTTAAAGACATGCAATTTTAGAAAAGATCGATTTCTACTATTGACACTTACCGATATATTGGAAAGTATCCATGCTGATTACATCGATCACAGGACATACCACCCTCGATGGATCCTCGGCCACCCTTTCCAAGAGCGGCTCGAGCCAATCGGCGTTGCATTCACAATGTGAATCTAAAAATGTTAGCACACTCGCGGTAGCTGCATCCGCACCGCGAACACGCGATCTCATTAGGCCCTCTCTCTTCTCGTTTCTAATTACACGAACTTTATGGATTCGCGATAACTCCTCGCCGTCCTCGGCTGTAAACAAATCAATCAGTCTTGCTTGTCATAAAGCATTTTTAATTTTACATTAATCAAATTCATTTTTGATATCAGTATTTCATTATAAAACATATTCATTGTTCTGAAAATTTTAATATCTGTTTATTCGATCAAAGCATCCAAATAATTTTTTGTTAACAAAATATAAACTCCAAATTGAAACTATCAAGCTTCTATTTCAAATTTCAAAGATCATAATTTAATGATACTTCATTTAGACCGGTAAACAATGTCATAAATGACATGACGAATTAGCCGTAGGTTACGTTTCAATGATATTAAACGTGACATTAAATATAATATTAAACACAATTTTCCATAATTGAATATACATATAATTAGCATTTTAATTAAACTATAAATTGCGTTAAATATTACATGCAGTATCCTTTTCGTAGCGGCTTGATCTCCGGAAGTAATTTATCATTTCTAATTCCATATATAGATTTTATTAGAGTCTATCATATATTTATTGTTTTCATATATATATCATATATTTATTGTTTTATATTTTTTATATATTATACATTGACTAAAGAGCAAAATTTAAAATTTGCTTAGATATAATATTACGTTTTCTGAAAATTTAATATGTAAAACTACTTACGATGGTCGCTAAAATCGTCCACCAAAATGATTTCTTTAATTAGATGCTCGGGACTTCTGTTCAGCACACTGAAAGCAAAAGTAAATATTTACATATTTAAAGTTAAATATTGATTTTTTTTTCAAGAAATTTAATAATACTGCTATATTATTTTAATATTTCTTACTATTTTATTATTTTAGAAATTTTACAAATAACAAATTAAATGAGATAAATACGATAGAATAATTATGCTTTATGCAGAATTTTGTTGCATGGATATGCATTTTATTTTATCAATAACGGTAATATTTTTAATGTTAATATTGACATAAGATTATTTTTTAACGTAACACGCTTTTTCTCGAGATTCAATTTAAAAGCTCGATACGCCGTTTCTTTCTTGAATCACTATCATTCATTTTCTATATAAATTTTTCCGGTCGATTAACGTCGAATAAACTGAGATTAAGAGAAGAACAGAAGCTTCGGGGATTGTCCCATTGAATCTTTTATCAAAGTTTCGAAGACTTTGTGCACCACTTGTCCCTTGTTTGAACGTTCTCGTATTGCCTCATCCCATTCTGCCAGTGAGTTTAGAGTTAAGAGGATTGTTGTAAATAATTAGGGCTCTTTCCACTAATTAAAACTATCTCTATATTGATGGAAAAAGTTTAACTATACGATCATTTCTTAAATTAATCATGAATATTAACAACTTTATTGTGATCGTATTGATAAAACAATAAAATATTATTTTATAAATTTCTTCTCAGTTGTTGAGTTATCGTACACTCAAGTTAACTTTTGAAAAAAAAAAAAAAAAAAAAAAAACTTTGACGAGAGACGTGAAATTGATCGCGCAGAATTTCTTGCGTCTCATCAAGATGGTAGTGAGGTGTGGTCTTGTCGTGGTAATTAAGACTTCCTTTTAATTTCATCGACCCGATAGGGCCGATATATTTTCCTGACGCCGCCACGTTACGGACTTAAATAAATTTTCCGACTCTTTCCTACTTCCTTCTTCCGGTTCGACGAAGGAACTTCGAGCAACTTTTGCATGGAGGCTACCTCCGGCGAGTAATGCGGCTCGTACTTTCCTTCACTTAGGACGTCGCATAGCGAAAAAATGCTTTAATTAATACCGGGACGCTTATGAGAAAATGTAGTGATTTATGTCTCTAGATAGACGATAAATGATACCGGTAAAGTGGACGGAATGAGCTAAAAGTATGAAGAAAAAGAAATATTTTAATCGCCAAAATTCAAAAAGAATTCAAAATAAAATTAGAAGATCCACATAGTTGAGTGAGAGCTAGTAAAGAATTGAATTTCTGAAAAAAATCTACTATTACTTTTTGCATTTGCGTTTATTTTCTATGACATAAAAAAATGCGATTGTGAACAAAATGTTTTTAAATATGCGTGTAAATACAAATTGAAAATCTCGTATGTAATTTCATCAGATTAAGAATCTACTGTTTAAATCAAATTAATTAAGTCATAATTAGCCAACTTTAATATCTATCACATAATGCAGAATTAAATTTATATGATATTTCTTCATATACTTCGTTCTTCAATATATCGAAGATCTTTCGGATTCTCCGGTTCATCGCGTCCATGTGTACGATCGCATAATAAGCACAAGGAATAAAACGATGGAACGACGATTAGAAAATTCCATCGCACACGCTTTTCACCGCCATCGCCCACTTCCGAATCGAATTGAGAATCCTCTCGCGCTTCCCGCAACCCGTTGATGCATCGAGAATTGAAGATCGCCGTACCGCACGTATCTACCGTCTAGATCGCGTGAGAATTTGCCCATTGGCAATTACTTTTTTTTTGTACACTGATACGTATTAAATATTGTACCTTTTATTTTTACAAATATTTTTTATTTTATGCTTATATATTGGTCAACAAAATTAACGCAAAGATAAATTTATATCAAAATTTCGCATAACTTTAGACAATCGTAACTCCGCGAAAAATGGTCATATCAAAAAGTTTTATTTTCATTCTCAAAGGTGAAGCCTTGTACTTAAAGATGCTTTTGATCGATTTTTAATCTATCTTTTCTCCTACTCGTCATCTTTTGAAAAGTAGACATGTTTACGTCTCCAAAAAATTTGCATAATTAACGCACTCTACGGGACGGAATAAATTTTTTCCATAAATGTCATAGTAACCATCAAGAAGTTTAGACTTTTTCCTATAAATTAAAAAAAAACTAAAACTTCATACGATTTTTTTTCGCGAAGTTACGGCATGTCAAAATTATCATTACATTTTCGTTCAATTACTGCCAGCATTAGCATTATCTGTCTAGTGCGCACAATAGGGAACTTGCTGGTCGAATTTTGTGCATCCAAACTTTGCGATGCTTATCAGGATATTTGCGACAAAAATTCATTCCGTCCCGTAGAGTGCGTTAAATTATGCAATTTTTTTTAAGACGTAACATGTCTTAACTTTTCAAAAGATGACGGATAAGATGAAAGGTAGATTTAAAATCGATCAAAAACATCTTTAAGTACAGGCTTTATCCTTGAGAATGAAAAAAAAAACACTTTTCAATACGACCATTTTTCGCGGAGTTACGATTGTCTAAAGTTATGCAAAATTAACGGTTGGTACAAATTTACCTATGCGTTAATTTTGTTCACCAGTGTATATTTAAGATAAAATAAATGCGAAAATCTCTTTATTTATATACAAAATGTATAAAATATCAACAAAAAGCTAAAAAAATTGTAGATGTAAATATTTAGCGTAATTGTTTTACACTTCCTGTAAAGCAAAGCTGTTCTCAACTTACCTGACGACAGTTCTGAGTAGTGTAGACCGTGCCTCGTTGTGGAAAGTAATTATAACGGAAGTCGGTGGCAGATCCTGTCTCCATTGTTTCATTCTACACCTGAAACGAGAAAATAGCATAATTATAATAGTTGCCTAGATAATTATAGATAAACGTATAAATGATATAGATATAAATTAAAATTAATGAATGAATAATAACTCTATCTTTATTGCATTTATATTATTCACGTAATACAGATGTTATTCTATAATCTTTCAATAGAAATTAATTGAATATAGAGATAATAATAAAAATACAAACAATCATGGATTGTGTATAAAAATAAAACTGACAAAAAATAAGTTTTCCAAAATAAAATTTATATAAACTTGCAATTTTGTCGTAGAATTAACGATATATTGTAGTCGGACAAATGCCCAAACCAATGTTCCCGGCGTTACCGCGAGGCATAATTAATTTTTTCAATGCAATATTGGATTCAGGAATATAGTTTATTCTTCAAGCTGCTTCAGTGTACTATGTTTTTGCGTGATAACGCTTATCGATTTATTCTACGAAATTGTCATTCGATTTTATTAACAAAAAATAACATGTCGCATTAGTAACGTTTCAATATTAGTCATTCAATCGATACAATGAGTTATCAGTATTGATTGCTTATCACAGTTTACACATGCAATAATTTTATGCATACAATCCTAGATGATCAATTTTAAGATAATCAATCACAGATGCTCTTGAGTTGCATTTGTCAAAAATCTCTTTTATTTAAGAAGCACAATATTTAAGACGAATTAATAAAAATTTGTTTTAAAAATCTTTCTATTAATAACTAATTAAAATATAATAAAATACCTGAAAAATATTAAAATTTTATATTTGTATCAATTTTTATATTTTCTCTCATTATGCCCACATATATGAAGATAGAAGAAAAAAATTGAAATAATAATAACAGTAGATTTAAGAAGTGGCCTAAGCGCCAGAAATTGCGCTTGAGTAGAAGAAAAAACGAAGACAGAGAAAGAACTAAAAGGACGATCCCATTTGGGGCACTGAGCTGGCGCGCAGAGAGGGTACATAAACGCGGCCAGACGACCAGAACGATCCCAATATGTCAGCCCCTCTTTGTCGAGATAAACTCGCGGAACGTGCGTTGAATGCAGTTACGTCGGCGTATAGGTGCGCGAATGCACTTTTTCGCGCCGTCGCGCGTCAAACGAGATCGCGAGAATTTCGCACCACCGGAAGCTACCACCGCCCCGTCGTATGCGAGACATCGCTGCTGGAGAGGAAGATGACCGGTAAACACGTGACTGCGATTTATTCATCCCAGAAGAGAGTCAGAGGTTTTTTGAAATAGAACAACGCGACATTCCGTGTATTGCAAAGTAGGAATATACATGATCTTCGCATATTTCTTACGTGCATCGCATAGGGCGGGATTAAATCTTTTTCAGCTATGAATATTTTTATCACGCTTATAAATGCTTTTCAATATGATTTAATTTGTTATATTTTTAGCAATTAATTAATGCAGATTTAATCTCCTGCAGCATTTCTAACGCCGTGTTGTCAGTTATCACTTCACTGAACTACAAGCCAAAGTTTGATTTGTCGTTACACTTTTATTCGGGTTTAATCAAGCGACTCGGATGACGAACAAGTTCCGTAATGAGTAATTTAGATATTCATCACCGTGCTTATCCTCTTTCGGACGCCGCCGCCGTCGCCGCCGAGCCGCCTCGTCGCCTCGCTCCCCGAGGCGGTGCAGGAATCGACAAATTAATTCGGGCGGCCATAATTCCACATTAAAGTCGGCTAGTCTCTACGGCAACATGTTTGCCGACAACAAAATTGCGCGCGCGAGTCTTAAAGCGACTCCGGCATAGATGAGACGGATCATCCGGACGGTTTAATTCGAAACTTCAATTTAGGATCCGCTCCGCGCAGCGATATCCGCTAAAGTGGATAACGCGCGGCCAGTCTGTGCGATTCCATTGAACGCTCGATCGCATATACGATGTTTCGAGCACATATGTATGTACGTGCTTGCGCGGATTGACCATTGCCAGAGAATGCGTCCTACAAGATAGATACAGACGGAGAGACGGAGAGAAAGGAGGAAAATGGAGTGCATCTGCGAGAACAGTACGGTTGCAATTAAAATCAATATCATTATTAACCTCTAAAAATTAAATTAAAGCAATAATATCTGAATTAAGGATAAAATCAATTTGTTTTATCTAATATCGATTCTCCAAGTAAATATAATGAATGATCATTTTTTAAAATAATCATAACTTATAGTTAGCAATAAAGTGTATTGAGACTATTTTCGTTGAAAGCTTGAATGTATTGGGTATAAATAAAGAAGTTTATGTTTTAAACTAACTCTACACCAAGATGCAAAATACATTTTTGCTACAAAAATTTGCAGTATAAATATAATTACATACTCCGATTTATTTTTGTACTTGAAAATCTATTAGAATGCTTATAGAGTAAGACATTCACATCGGTGGAAAAGTACAGCTGTAAGCGAAAAGAAGATGTTCGAAAAAAGCGCACAAAGGATACAAAACGGAATTAGAACGTAACGTTTTGGCGCTCTACGGAAGTAGAACCTCTTTTTTTCCCCGAGAAACCTCCGTACGTTGTTCGCCTCGTGGGCGCGAACTCGCGTGAAACAGGATATTAAATTTTTAATCCATCACCGAAGCGAGAACGGATATTCTAAAGCAAAAAGAGCACTAGAAAGGGGACAATTGAGTTTTTGCTTCCAATTCGATTTATGTTACGATTATTTAGAGTGTAAGTTATTTTCGATCGTAATCCTTTCTTTCATAAAAACAGCTGCATACTAATCCTAGATATATAGGTGAAGATATTAAAATACATTCGTCGGGAAATAATGCAAGACACTATTTAAAGCTCTCAATATAAGTGTAATATTAGGTATTACTTTAATACACAATGTACAAAATAGTTATTATCAGAAGAAGTTACAGAGACTAGTGAAAACAGTGGTGCAAATAATTAAACATGTTGATATCGGTGTATTATTCTGAGACAGACAAAATAGCTGAATTCGTAATTCAATTTCATAATCCTCCGCCTAGTACGAACACGATAGAATTGAGTTATCAACGTTTATTATTGTGCAGACGATAAATCATAGCGGGCGAAATAGAAAATATTGTGCTGATCGATTGCAGATAGTAATTGATGCAAATACGTGATCTATTTCTGATAATTCCGCGAAATAAGCATTATAGACGGAGAATATTGGAATATATGAAATAATGCAATCTCTCTTACGCGAATATCGTAGTTTATATCATCCTTCCTCATCGCACGTTATAAACTCCGCTGAGTTCGCACTGATTCCATTCTAAATTCGGCGTGTTACATTTACAGGCATTTTTTTTTTGTAATACGCAGATAGAAGTTTAATGGGGCGACACGTTAATTGCGCGTGATTTTGTGTCGCATTGCAAAACGCACTGAGCGGCTTGGTGAACGCGCAAATCGCGTTAGCGCCAAAAATCATGTTACTCCTGGACATTGCGCGCTCTCGAATCGTGTTTTGTCCGCGCGTCGGGCGTTAATTTCGGAAAATGCAAAAAGCATTCCCATGCTAGCTGCAGAAGCACGTTACCCGGCGTTGCCGACGGGGATTGCACCCTATGAAATCAGAGTGCATCGCGCCCTGGTTTACAGATCTGTTTGGTGTCACGAAAAGTGAGGGGGTGCAGGAGAAAGAGGAGGAGGAGGAGGAGGAAGAAGTGGAGATGGTACGCCGCACAAAGTTTCAGACGATACATTGTTGTTGGCTACAGTTTTAACGCCGCTCCTAATGGATTACACACGTCTTATGGGTAGCGTAAAATGACAAACATTTTATACAGCGCACTCGCAAGAACACGCACTCCTCCTTTTTCTGATTACACTCTGTACGATGAGTTCCCGAAGAAGTGCGGACCATATTGAGAAAGAAAAATAGAGAGAAATAGAACGAAAGCAAAATAGATAGTCGAGAAGAGAATAATCCATTAATGATTTTTTTTTAACATACGTTTTTTTTAACGTTTCTCGAAAATTTGTTTTGCCTCGTGCGCGACGATTTCTAAAAGCAACGAATATAGGTTTCCTCTGTTTCTGGATCCCATAAGTCTCGATTCGCGTGACGTATTGAAGACATCGCTGATTGCTTTTCCATTTGCGGGTGACGGGCTCGAAATGCGCGGCGTAACTCCCGCGGGTGCGAAACACCCAAAGCTAACGAGCTGCTCGTCGTCGTTCTCTCTGTCACGGGAGACCGCTCCTGCATTGTACGACACGCTCGAACGGATTGCGCCGGTACGCAAATATTATTTTAACAAAGTTACGGGGCTATCGAACCCATTGGCGGTCCGGTCACGCGAGTATTAGTATCGATTTTCTCTTTCGTTCGTATGAATAGCCTGTACAGCAGTCGGTTTTTTAAACACGGACGCACTTACGAGAAAACATTCTCCATCCACTTTTTCGGACAGTTTTTGGGAACATTGTGCAATAAAATAAGAGACATTCGTGTTTTTTTTTATACACATACTTTATTTGTATAACTTTTATGGGTTGGAAAAACACTCGATGTCATCGCGACATGTGTGACATGCAAAAAAAAGGTTTTAAACGCTTTTATAGATTTTTTAGGAAGCGTCAGATCTTTTTTTTTCTTTGTTTTAAAAAAAATTCTAAAACGTACGGCACGCACGGCTTAACTTTTGCGTTTCGATGTGCATAGGATAAGGATAAGGATAAAAAATTGATTAATTAGAATGATAAAATCCAATGTGGCAATCTAGGCTTGGAGAATCGATAGCACAAATTTTCAATTTGCCAATTTGCTAAACGATATTACAATTTTATGAAATATATCAAGCTGACAACATAAATCGATGATAACAAAATAAAATTGATAATATTGAATTTGACATTTAATCAGGATTCGGCTACGAACGTATATCATTTAATTGAGCGTGATAGCGTCGATACGTGTCAATTCACAGCAGTGTCGTTAACGCGATCGGAATAATACGAGCGGAAGGGAT